ACCGTATGCTGTAACTCACCATGCAGTAAATAACAACCTCATTTGACTTAGTAACTTTACTGATGGCGTAAAGCGTCTGTAATTATTAACTACAAATTTATATCAATTGAATCGATTTTGAACTTAATCGTTGGATTCTTGCGTTATGACCTTGGTTGCGAGTGACTGAACATGAACTTATACAATTACACACGCGATCATTACGTCTAAGATATAATATTGATTTCTTGTGTTATATGTTAAGTTCAATCTCTTGCCCCTCATGAAAGGCTAGTCATCCGAATGTTAAATTTTGACTTGTCTGTTCATATTTTACTATTTAGACCTATTTAAATTTCAAAAAGTCTTTGTTTTGTGTTTTAATATTTTAGATACGATAAGTTTCATAAAAATAAATGATTATAGCCCTAATTGTATCTCCATTTTGAGATGTGTATAAGAGACAGATATAAGTGGGCCCCCCCCCACTTTCAAAAACGTTCCGCCGGCCCTGCTACAGCTCGTGATACTTATATTTTCAACAGGCGTATTAACAGGTTCAAAAATAGTTACGGTATCAGTTCTTAACTTGCAGGCAACACTGAATGTGTAGCCGCACGACCAGTTTCAGTTTTTGGAGCGGGGCCTATATCCACAGTGGCGTAACAGGCGGGGGGGGGAGGGGAAGACTGCCCCCCCCCCCCCCCCCCCCCGACCCAGGACCCCTGTTACGCGCCTGCCTACCCAGGGTACCAAACTGAATAACTGAGGCAAATGGGTATGATTACGTGACGAAAACCCTGTTATAATTATTATTGTTTACGAATCAATTGTTAGTGAAAGATCGAAATCTTTGATGTACTAATATTCTAATCTGTATACTAATAAACGGATATCAAACTAAATTTCATTGGGCTTATTCGACTGGTTCATTTCGTTGAGTACGAATTTTCGTTGAGTATTATTTTCATTCGACTGGTTCGTAAAATAGACTTCGTTGACAACGAAATTTAACGTAACCAGAATGCGTTAATCAGCGTTAAGTTATGCACATGACCAAAAAAATATGGCCGATTGGTCAGTTTAGCAATAACATTTGCGTTAATATAAGTTAGATTAAATTTCAGAAAATTTAAATTATAATATAGGCCTATACCCACATTGAAGTCAAAATATAATTGTAGGCTAACAGAATTTAAAAAATGGATGAAAACATTTTTTTACGAAAAACCCATACTGCCACAATTCGAAGCAGCCTTGATTACGCAGCGTGTATCGCGGTAACTATGCAGCCATTTTGTTTTGTCGAGTATTTACCAGTTTTCTATTCGACTGGTCGTCTTCGTTAAGTAGGATTTTACCACTACGCAGGTGGGCGTGGTTTAACGAAGAACGACCAGTCGAATACGGCCATTATCAAAAGTTACGCCAATCCTGATTAACACATGTTCATTCCCGTTAACGCTTCTGGTACTTGTTGGTCGATCATTATCTATAATTATGTAGATCTTATGCACGCGAGTTGCACGCGACATGGGCTTTATCTTTCCACGGTTATCTTGAGGGTGATGATTACTTTGGTCAAACGGTTGAAATTGACTAGCCGACTAATAAAATATTTAGTAATAATAATTATGGAAACATGTTGTTTAGCTCGTTTTTCTAAGGCACAAAAGGGGGCTTGACGAAAAACTCGGGAACGGTTAATGAGATAGATTTTTAAATATTGGCAGAAAAAAGGAAAAAAGGTGGTTACTCCCCTTTTCCAATATTAAAAAATCTGTTACTCATAAACTATTCCCGAGTTTTTCGTCAAATCAGGTGTAAAACATCAACAATATTTTTCCGGAGCCGGCTTTAGGAGTGATTTTTGTTTATCTAAAAATAGTAAATAAGAAAAAAAATCACTCTGGATAGAGATGAATTTAATTACTTTTTACTCTTTCTTCACTTTACTGCAGCGCGTCTGTAAGCAATCTTTCTCTCTTTTTTATTTTTTATTTATTCAATGTTTGCATTTATAAAGAGACCTTCATATTAGTCACCAAAATGGAGATACAATTAGGGCTATAATCATTTATTTTTATGAAACTTATCGTATCTAAAATATTAAAACACAAAACAAAGACTTTTTGAAATTTAAATAGGTCTAAATAGTAAAATATGAACAGACAAGTCAAAATTTAACATTCGGATGACTAGCCTTTCATGAGGGGCAAGAGATTGAACTTAACATATAACACAAGAAATCAATATTATATCTTAGACGTAATGATCGCGTGTGTAATTGTATAAGTTCATGTTCAGTCACTCGCAACCAAGGTCATAACGCAAGAATCCAACGATTAAGTTCAAAATCGATTCAATTGATATAAATTTGTAGTTAATAATTACAGACGCTTTACGCCATCAGAAAAGTTACTAGGTAAGTCAAATGAGGTTAGTTACCGTACTGCATGGTGAGTTACAGCATACCGACCGAGATGATAAGCGCCTGATTTCGAGGGAAAACCCCACCCTTGTGTAATATGCGCCATCCATCTGCGCTATAGCCTATCTCGAATAAGACAAATTGCTCGAGAGGCGAGCTTACAAGAAAGACACACTTGAATATCGCATTAGCTTTTGGATTTATAATTAACAGAAGGTACCAATTTAAATAGGCCTAAAGACATAGTCAATCATGACAATTATCAACAACTTAAATGTAATTTATCGATTTATTAGAATTGACACATTATTAATATCAAGTAGCCTAATAATCAAGTAACATTTATTTATACAGCTGTACAGCATGAGAGGGCACCACGATGTTATCAGTATCGGCGCGAGAGTCCGCAATCTGAAGAGTCATCGAGTCCGACCAAAGACGATCAATACCGGACACTTCATCGGGACGACAGACGATCTAGCTTTACCCCCGTCACTCCAGATTATGTGGCACGTCTACCACCACCATCGGCGACTGATGTGCGCAGCAACGGGTTCTTTAACAGTCTTCTTCAAGCTGAGCCGCGTCTTGAGATCAAAGGCGGACCGCTAGGTAGTCATGTCAACGAGAATGAAGGTACAGTAAACTATCTAAATCTTGACCACATTTTAATATTAAAATTTATGATGAAACAACATTTCCCTTCCTGCTAACCTGGTACCTTCTCCGTATGCCTATTTCAGGGGCAACCGTCACTTCATAAATTGTTAGGTCTTCTTACAAACATGCATTTTGAATTTCATTGTGTGTGTATTAATATTGTTATGAGTTAATTTATGATTCAATAAATTTTATCTCTCTTATCCTCCGTTTTGTAGTTACTACTGCAGAGGCCTATGAATATTACTTTATTTCTCTACGGACATTTTTTACAGGTGAGAGAAGTGTCAGTGGTGACGTTTTGTTGGTCAACCCAACAGAGAACGTTTACGAGGCGGCAGCGCGGGTACTATTTATGACAGTAAAGTGGGCCCGCAGTATCCCGTCATTCCTATCACTGCCTTTTCGTGACCAAGCAATCCTATTGGAAGAAACTTGGAGTGAATTATTCATGTTAAGTGCAACACAATGGTGTATTCCTTTAGATCTCGGTTAGTAAAATTAAAATTCTTGTTACAAATAATGCGATGAATTAAAAAAAAGAACGTTTAATAATTGAGAAGGTAGGCCTATATCATCATTCTAATATGACTGCCAAATACAATACATAATGTATAATTGAATATATAAGTTCAATTTAACTAAGTTAGTATGAAACACATTATTATACATTTGATGTACTCAACTTAACTAAACCATGGAGGTACCTTCATGCCGAATCAGACCTAAATTTGATATTCTTTAGGAATTCGTGTAGGCCTATTTGCAATGTTCATAAACCATTATAATATTGCACGTGTTATTTGCAGGTGTGGCAATCACATCTCCTGGTTTTCTAGCAAAATCAGAACTAAGTGAAAATGTGGATGCGTTGGGCGATATCCGACTAATGCAAGATGTTATGTCTCGCCTGAAACACATGAGAGTTGATGCAGCGGAGTTTGCGTGCCTAAAAGCAATTGTTCTCTTCAAATGTGGTAAGCCAAGTCTTTTTGGATGAATAAATATTATTAGATTAGACCTATACGGAAATAGGTTTAACTGCTGGATAAGAGATGATTGCATTGTTTTGGTTCAATCATTATTAGCATCCAGAATGTTTCCATTATTTCTATCCTTACACACTGATATTTTCGAAGAGTTAGGCCTATTTTTTACTGCCTTCAATTATTACAGAATAACTACTTGGAGCTAAACATTGGAATAAAAGTGATTTGTAGGCACACTGTCAGTAGTAAATCTGGAACCCGTCAACGATTCAATTAAAACACTGAATGCCAATTTTAACAAATATTAAATAAGCTATCAACTTTTATTGAGAACAACTATAGGAGAGGAACAGTTTAACGCAGTATTTGCGAGAACATATAGGCCCTACCGTATTTCTTACATTTTAAGTGAAAGCCAATCCTCATTAAATATACAAAGGATAATTAAAATCGTACCGGTAGATATTATAAACAACTGTATCCACAGCAGTCTTTTTCGTCCTAATGTATATATAAAACTGACTACTGAGAATGGGTTTTAATGTAGCACTGGGGGAAAATTAATTTCTTATGTTATTGTCAAAGAACCCCCCCCCCCCCCAAAAAAAAACCAAAAAAAAAAACGTCTAGTTGCTATTGGTTGCTAATAAACGAGCCTGGAGAGGGTGTGGTTTATTATGCTGACGTCACGTATAATTTCTATTACCCAAACAATGTCAATGTGTAGCTCCAGTGTCGCTCTTCGGGAGATGTAAAAAATGGGCTGACAAATATAATTTGAGGGCGGCCTGTCATACATCAGTATTTTTTAGATATTACATAACATTCTTGCACTATTTAATTCCCAGAAATCAGAGGCTTACGGCAGCCTGGACAAGTAGAAGCGATCCAGGACCAGTCGCAACTAATTCTTTCCGAGTACATAAACTGCAGATCACTTGGGCACCACATCCGCTTTGGCAAACTTCTCCTCATCCTTCCATCGCTCAGGGCAATCAAATCGAAAACTGTTGAAGAACTATTTTTCCGAAGAACAATCGGCAGCGTACCTATCGAGAGGTTGCTCTGTGACATGTTTAAATCAAGTTGAAAACGCAATTATGTTTGGTACTAATATCCTAGCAGCTGCAATAAATGTAAACCCATAATTGGTGAATGAAATTCACTTTTTCCAGATGTATAGAATAGCATTGTGAAAGGATAGATATATTATACGTGTGATTAAAGTACACACTTTAAATACACCCTTACTGGTACAGTTCAACATGGCCTAGAATGATAATGGCTACAGGATCCACATACATAATAATGCATACAGATATAGGCCTAATCACTCATGCCAGAGAAAACAAGATTCTCCGAGAATGATTTACAGTCTTCAAAAGCAGTGGCGGACCCAGGGATTTTTTTTTCTTTTTGCTTGGGGAGGGGGAGTGGATGTGAGTGAGTGGTGGAACCTATGGACAGGTTTTGCATGTTCCCTTTCCTATTGTGGGGGTCAAGACGCTATACGCAACTCCGGGATTTTTGCTTTATTTAAAATGACTTCGCACTTGTTTAGAGCATGGAGGAATTTTGCTGCTGCCAGGAGAGGGAGATGGGGAAGCGCAATTTTCGCCACCGTCTGGATCAGCCACTGTATACTCGCGTACACACCTACACACCCTACAGTGCTTATAATACCAATGGATATAATTATACTAGGCCTATGTATGATAAATATGTATGATAAATATGTATGATAAATATTTATATATACAGTTATTGAACATACATTTAAGAAACCATTTACAATGGGGACTTAAGTAAAATATGAGGTATTGGGTATATTTCCGTATATTTTTGTTGAAGTGAATTAAAATAGGCCTATTATAGTATGTTACTGTGCCTTTGCTATTTATTAAAAATGTATTAATAACTGGTAAATAAAAAATCTTGAAATTTGAAACCTTGAAACTATTTAAACATTCCTATTTTTTACAGTATTTCCGAATCTGATTACAATTTTGTAACTCAAATGTATGAAATATAAACTTCCATCGACCAAGAAGACAGGTAAATGCCCGTTTTTACATGTATATTATTAAACTGATATCACGCAGTCAATCAATATCAATTAGTTTGATGTCCATATGTATGACGTATAGCTTGCTATAACACAAATTACAGTTGTTAAAGACATCCCAAGATTTTCTGGGCCTAAAGCAGTGGCGGCGTTAACGGGGGTGGGGGAGTGTTAGTAGAATTCGTCGGGGGATAAAAAAAAAATAATTTTTTTGAAAACATTTTTATCAAATGTTGGCCTGAACTGGATAGGCCTATATAATTTAACCATTTGGATGCCGATGAGATATAAAAAGTACAAAGTACAACTCTTGCCCTGCCTGTCGGGGGTGTTGCCTTGCCGTCGGGGAGGTCCTAGCGCCGCCACTGGCCTAAAGGCGTATGATTTTACATAGTTATGTGGATTAAAACATTGGGTTTTATCTTACAGATTTCAGATTATTCTCTTATTGTGGAATAGATAAAGAATATATGTAATCCTATTATAAAGGTCTAATAAAAATTCGGCACATTTCATATTATTTCTCAAATTACAATCGAACAAGTGACCAGCTTCTATTTTAGATGCTGCATGACATCAATAAGTGGAAATTAAAATATGTATATTATTATTTGAACGAAAGTGTTAAACATAAAACGTTAATAAGGATCTGAGATAAAGTAATATAAACAATTCTATAGCAATAATAATCGATTTATTTACAATTTTGACAAACTCAAGAATTACAATGTATTCAATGTTGAGTTTTTGTTTTTTTTTGCAAAATCATGATTAAATCAAAAGATGTTACAAAATCTGACTAATGACTTTCTGTTTTTCTAACCCTTATTATTTGAACAAATTTCAGACGTATTGGCCTTACAGTTTAAAGTGCAAATATACCAAAGATCAAGGTATATAGACAATTACAAATGCTATGAAACCTGATTTGTGCTTTTTTAACCCTCTATAAAACTATTACAAAAAAATAAACAGATGTATTAGACTTGTAGTTTCAAGTGCGCATGAATGTCAAAGGTCAAGACATATGCACACCACTATACCAAAGTTGTGGTATGCAAACAGAAAATAATAACAACAACAGGTTTTTATAGTGTTTTAGAAAAATCTCATCAATGAGCTTTATAATAAAAAAAAAAGACACAATGAATCATTACAGGAATTATTTAACACGTATTACCATCTATATTTTGAAAGAGTTAATTAATTAACAGTTACTGAACACTGGTTGCATCATTTGACTCATAATATAGTGTACAGTAATTATACCAGCAACTGTTATGCAAATGAAATAGAAGTTGTATAATTATTTTAATATGCATTGACCTTTACCACTTGAAAATTTTAATAGACGAATAGTAGATACTGAAAGCAAATTCTTGTTTTGATTTTTATTATTTGTGTCTTGGCTAAGACAACTATACTGTATATAGTTGTCACAGGTTTTGGTTGCATGTGAAAAAGTCAAATTGGAGTTAAATAACAGGTGAGTATTGGGGTAATATCAATCAGCACTTCCATGATTGGATTTTTTTTAATGAATTATTAGCTATTCCACTTTTGCCAATGAGCAACAGAATTCAATGGGAAGATTTAAAACTTAGTCCGGAATACCAATGTGAAGCTCAAATAATCTTCTAAAATGCATTTTCTTTCATGTATCTTGTGAGACAACTGGAGACAGTAAAATGTTTTTACAAAACAAATGAGTTTATTAAGTAAAGTACAGTATGTGATGGTGCTTTTCTGTGACCTCATTCATAGTAAAGTTCAAGATTCATACCATCATGGATTTCATCTGAATTTAAAGTTAAGGCCATAATAATAACAACCAACTCAATGATAACAATAAACCATTAAGGACAAAAATATAGTACTGTAAGAATACTATTAAAATAGAACATAACAAATAATTAGTAATAACAGCAATGATAACAAAACTCTTGGTGTCACATTAGATTGGATGTTGCAATACTACAGGTCCCCAAGGGGCAATCCAAATTTCTCCAGTCTAAGACTAATTAAGTTAAAAAGTTTACAGAGGCGGATCTGGGTTGAAATTTAGGAGGGGTCAAAATGTTTCCAAAAAATTCCAAAATAAAGGGGGTCCTCCCCCGGGAAAATTTTGATTCCTAGATGGCGGGAAATGAGCTTTTCCAACTTCTGAGGTGTCTTTTAATGAATTTTAAGTTCTTCAAAAGTCAAAGTTTTCCCCATCTTGAAAACGGCAGGTAAACTTTCTCATTCGTATTAGAGTAAATAGGCCTATTATGTGTGTATACATAAATAGTCTTATTACTGTATGTGAATACATATATAAAAAAAATTGAGTAGTTGCATACATATTTTTGTTTTCATGAATCGATAAACCCCAAATAGAAAGTGGGGATCCAGGGGTTCTCCCCCTAGAAAATTTTGATTCCTAGATGGCGGGAAATGAGCTTCTAATTTTCCTATTGTAACAAAAACAATTCATCTCACAGGTCCTGAAAAGGTAGGTCTAGCCTTTTTTTTTTATTAATTTTTTTTTTCAGATCTGCCAATGGCTTACATTTACATACATAAATCTTAAGCAACTGATTAGTTTGAAAGTAAGGGAATATAATGACCTTACCCACAGTGCATAATTACATCATTAAATCAAAAGTTTATTTTATCAATTTTAAACATTCAAAATAAAAACCGACTATTTTTTTTTTTGAAAAGCAATATGAAGCAAATGTAAACAATAAATGTGACATCCTACCACCTAGTGCCTTGATATCACATTGGGTATATTATTTTAATCATGCTTCTCAAAATCAGTCAATACTATACTATATAATTCACATAAAATATAATTTTACTTTAATTTCAAGGATTCTAACTATTACAACAGCCACTGGAACTAACAAACAGAAAATCAACATAAAAAAGAGCATTCTGAAGTTGGAAAAAAGTTGAAAGGATACAATCATCAAGTGTAATGTGGTTCTTATAGATTGTGTACCATTTCTTGATTACTATTCTGTCCCACTTCGTGCCGGTTTGAGCTGCAACGATTTTCTTCAAATCCCCTATTGTGTCTGAAGGGCTGGTAATAAAGTCAAGGCAAAGAACATAGCAATATCTAAAGAATATACAAACATTGTGAAGCAAAATGTCTTAAAATCAGGCATTTGTAGTGGGATATATTAATCAGCTTGTTTGAGAGAAAAATCATGCATACAGTATTCCAAACAGATATCAGGTTGTTCAAGCTACTAAAATCTGACTTGAAATTAGAATAATTCAACAATTTTTTAATACACATTAGAGTGAAAATATGAGCCGGGTTATAATGTACAGTATTACATGTATATTATATATTTAAGTTTGCAATGTTTATAATTTTCAGGAAACAAAAACTGACCCTCATGTTCTTACAGTTGAAACCTATAGTGGGTAGCAAGTATGGAGAGTGTTCATCACAATTAGATAGATGAGAGTGTTTGCTATTTTTAGTTCATCGTGTCATAGTATTTCATGAATACCACATTAAAAGGTTGGCTGCGAGGTATTGTTCCTGCTTCTGTGCTGAACCCCAGGTTCAAACTCGGCCAGTGCTGGGTTTGGGTTTTAACTGGAGTCTGCTTGCTTGGCTCCTTGAATAACCCCCATATTGAGAGTTAAGTGGGTTAAGGACAATCTTTGTATCCGTACGTGTCAGCTATGTTGTAGTTAAGTTGGGTGGCGCTGCACTGTGGCTGCCACAGATTCCCAGCCCAAATTTCTGATTTCCTATTAGAATGAGGACCAATAAATTATTATTATTATTATTATTATTATTATTATTACTATTATTATTATTATGAATGAAATCATTGATGAGCTATTTTTTGGGGAAAACATTGTTACAATTTTTTGAAGACTAAAGGCATTTACACAACGCCAGTTCCGTGAAAACTGAACAACCATGAGAAAAAAATTTGTACTGGCTTCCCATTAACTATGACTCCAACAGCATACTTACTTACTTGATCTCCTTCATGAATGTCTCTTCTAACTTCCCTTCTTTCTTCTGACCTTAATTTGCTCATTGTTTCTGAACAACAAATTCTATGGTCACAGATCATTTCTATTTTCAGCTGCCATGCTTTGGAACACCCCCCACCCCCTGTCTCCCTCATTCTCAAACATATTGGCAAATCACCCTCAGTTGCTATTTTTAAAACCAAACTCAAAACACATCATTTTAACATCTAAACATGCACAGCACCTTTGATGTTTACTTCAGTTTAGTGACACTGGTGCTTTATAAATTATTATTAAAATAAAATGGGCCTTGAATGATGAAATACACATATGATGAAGAATTTAACTTACCATTATACAAAGAAAAAACTCTTCTCACTAACTATTGGGACACATTGGAAACAAGCCGACTTCAATGGTTACTTTTTGTGTTTGAAAACCCAGAATAAGTTTGTTGCTGTTTTTTTTCATTGATTAATAAAAAAAAATTTTTTTAAATGAATTTCCGAATTAAAATTCTCAAAAGGATACTTGCACTTGACCCTGACTTTCTTGCCCAATCGGTCATTGCAGGTCACCTCAATCATCTTGTTTTTTAGTGTATCAACTACTGGACATAACCTTTCTATGGATAAAAACAAAGACCAATATACTATATAAATTTTAAAGCTGATAGGAATAATTAATATTGTATCATATAAATCGCATATTTACGAAGAGCTTCTACACCAACTCTGGGAACAGAGGGAACCCCCGGAGAAGACCTAAAAAACCAACCAAAAGAGGGCACACGTCATCAGATGACATCAGCTGTTTTCGAGGCCACTTTTGCAAAGTAAAGAGGGGAGCTTCTTTTCAAAATGAATGCCATAAATTTTGGAAATTACTACTATAAAAAAATAAATAAGGGCCACTGTAACATGAATCTGTATCCTGGAGTGCATTAACCAGCATTAAATCAGCTAAACTAATGTATAATAAACCAAACATGTTTTTAAATTTATTTTCTTTGAAATTCATGTACAGTGTGTAATGTACTATCTCGAAAAGAAGCCATGCTACCTTGAAAAGAAGCCTATGGACTTCATTTTGAGGAGGCTAATTTTGCAAATTGAAGACTTCAATTCGAGATGGGGGGATTTTCGAGATTAAGCCGACTGGGCTTCAATTCAAGGTTTAAAGTCCAATTAAAATGATGCTTTTTAAGTTGCTGATTATTGAAGTATTACATACGTTTAAAAAAATTAGTGGTAATAAAATATTAAATTTTTGGTTTATAAATATTAAAAATGACGGTTAAATATATTAGTATAAGCCCCGCCACTGGAGATGTTCACTGAAGTGTGAGTAGAGCTGATTACGTAGACTCAGTATAACAATCACAGCCATCCTGTTTATGTAATACAAACATTATATAGCGCAACATATGAAAGAGGTTCACTTGGATAGTACTGATCTAAAGAAGGAAGCAAAGAAATGGAGCAGCTTTATTAATTTGAGCCACTAAAAAGCGAATTTGAAGAAAGAATTGAAGACCAGGCTTTGTTGGAAAAACAAAATTGATTGGGCAACACTAACGAATTTTGAGCACTATACTATGCTGTCGTACTCTAGGCCAGACGAACTAGGCCTAAGCAGAGTAAAAGCACAAACACTTGTCAGCGTACGATGGTTAATATTATAGTAATAATATACATTGTTTACGTCTAAATTAGCTTACAGTCTGTATATTAAAGCTTATTTTGCAAAATCTTTACATCACAATGTAACGTACGAAATTGAAATTTGATGTACTGTTCACGGCCTACGCCTTCGATGATGGTAGTAAACAAAGCCGATTCGGCGATCATCATCAGGTCACATTGTAAATTGCCTGGTTGTTTTTCATGTTATCGACTACAATAAAAAGCTAAATTTATTATTTTGGTTGTTATTATGTTGATGTATACAAACTGTGTGATACTCACTTATAATACAGGCCTCGAAATTGGTACAAAAGGTCCATGGCAAAAATTGACGATGTAAATTTGACATTCCTCGGCAGTTTTTGTATTTTGAGTTTCAGCAGGTTTCAGACAGTACTGTATATGATTGTACCCATAAAATTGTGGTTTACGAAAAACAAATCTTTCAAAAATTGTGTATTTGTAAAAACAAGAATTTCTATTCTTTTAAAAGCCATTGCTAAAGAACACACGATCAAATCGGACGGCAAATAAACGCACATGGGGAATCCCCGAATTGGTTCGCACCATACTCTTGTAAACAGTTACGACTCAAAATTGAACCATGAGGTGGTCCACAAAGCAGGATTGACTTTTGTGTTTATGTATAATTTTACTGTTTTATTAATAAAAGTTATTCAACTTGGTACAGTCGTACTGTATGTATTTCAATGATTAAACAATTATTAAATCATTGTGTTATAAGCCCGTATTTTATTGTAGGATAAATCATTACAACAAAACAAATAAAATTTTAATTTCATTCAAACACATATTATCAATGTCGTCACAAAACGTCCAAACACCGTTAAATCGGGTCGAGCCAGCCCCGATCGAGCGTTGGCAAAGAACATCTGAAGAAAGACCACGTTGTAGAGAACAAGTGAACGATATGCTTTGAAGCAAGAAGTAAACATGAACCTTGTCCGTCATAATATAGCATTATGCGTGTATATTTTTTTGTAAGATACTGTAATGAAACCCCTAATCATCCCTAGTATTAAGTCAAAACAAATTTGTGCCGAGCGGCCCCGACCAAGCGAAGAACATCGAGAAAGACGACGTTAAAAACAACGACGGTATAAAAACGTCATCCACCTTACTACGACGCATTCTAGCAAAAAGTAAACAGCCTCGGCTGTCATAATAACATATATACAGTAATAAGCGTGTATTTTGTGCAAGATATTTAATCATCATGAATAAGTAAGTCAAAACAAATAGTTTTAATGTTTTATTCGAACACATTTGTTGTATGTAGCGAGTACGGGCTCGGTGGTATGGGGTGGATGCAGAGAATAGGGCCTACCTATAGGCCAGGCCTACTCTCATCCTTGCTCTTAGTCTTACGTTGTGGTCATAAAGTGACGCCGAAGCTAATTTCGAGGGCTGCTAATATGTTTTGAATGTTTACTTAATAATTAGTCTCCGAATTTCCAGCGTATGATTACCCTAGGCCTTAACTGAGAATATCATGTTACCAAGAGTCGCGATCCCGCGAACATCCTGTGTTATGTTGTACCGAGTGTGTCATATGCAGGTCAGATTCATTAGGCGGAGCTTAAAATAGATTATTTAAAACTCGTTTTTCAGAAAAACGTGTCATCTAAAAATAAAAGGAAAGCCACCGATATGTTTATTATATAATTCTTTGTTTTATGACATTTTTTAAAAGTAACTAGAATATGTCATTTTATTTAGATGGACTTTAAAGGTATTCATTCACTATATGTCTACATGTTGCATATGTTTGTATTTAGCGAGCGCACTGTACTGTATAATTAATTGTGCATGCATCACCGGCGCTCCATACACGTTACATATTGGCGGCCGTTCTGGCCAATCGTTCTGGCTGGCGGCCGCTTTGGCTCGTCGCCGCTTCGGTCCTACAGTACAGTACTAATTCGCCTAGCCTAGGCCTAGCAGATAATCCATTCTCCATCACAATTAATAATAAGTACTTAATTTTCAACCTATATGCAGAGATATGTTATATACCATTGCATAATAGACAAATATCAGAACATTTAAATGTTAATAACAACTAAAAACTCTTATGCTACCCTCCCAAAACGTACATACATACCGTGCAGAATCAAAAATGATGACAACAAAAATTGTAGACAGCGCCACCTACTCAGTTGACTACTCAGTACTTCAGTACGGCCTGGAATAGACTTGCCACAAGTCTCTTATTTTTTATTATTTTTCTCATTCTGGACAGCGCCACCAACGAGAAAGTTAATTTATAGACGGAATAAGCGACTTGTAAAACACTGAAATCAGGCACCAGGATGCCAAAAGAATGACGTAATCTTATATTCCGTATTTGGATAAATGGGCGGTCCGAAATAAACAATTTCAACCAATCAAATGTTCATATTTTTGGAGCCACGAAACTGAGTCACTCGCGTCGACTAGTTAGGCCATAGGTCCATGGTTTTAGGCATGACTAAATTTAAATAGTCTTCCCTAATAAAACGGG